GAGTTTGTCTTGATGTAGACGTGGACTCTCAGGGTAGGGTGGGATATCCCCTCCATTTAGGCCTCTACCTGAGAGCTTTTTTTGAGCTTGGGAGATGATTTCAGAGAAAACCAGTGGCACCATCGTGTTTCTCGCGAACTTTTACATAAGAATCATAAGTCAAATCGCAAATTCCTCACACATGCAACATCTGCATTGATATGAGTTGGGATCCTTTCACGACCGGACCTTCATTTGCCCTCTTCCCCTGTTCCTGGGTCAGAGGGCCAGCATGTCGTTTATTGAAATTGACACACAAAGCTGTAGACAAAGAAGACAAAAAGGGTACGGAGGGATCCTTTTGGTCGAAGCGGGTGGTTGCAATGGACAAAAAAGAGGTAGGTAATAGACTAACTAACGGCAATCTACGAGAGATCGTCTAGTTAGTCCATCCTTTCTCCCTTAGTCTATAGAAACCACCCATTTCAACCGACAGGATCCCTCCATATCCCTCTTGTCTTCTTTGTCTGTAGCTTTGCCTATCAATTTCAATAATCGGTCTGCAGTTGAGGACAACCATTAATCGGCCGTATCAAAAAACTACATACATACATACGAGTCGCTTTCACAGCGCTCTCTGACGGTCTGCGAAGCCTAACCGTCACAGTACCCGGCCCTCCAACAACATTTCTGGGAGTTAGCACTCCCTCATTCCATTTAAAACCCCTTGTCTCCACCCTTCCACTGGATACCTCCTTCGTGATAACGGTTGAAAGACAATTAAGAAACTGTTAAAAAAAATAATAAAGAAGAAAGAAAAAAAATATTAATTAAGATTTTTATCAGAATTTAAGTATTTTTACACTTTGACAGCTGTTCCGAGCGAAAAATATAATGTTATTATTACCCATGATGTAAACTGAAATGTAACCACTCAGAATAATTGGTTTACTTAAAGACTGTACCGATGTAAACTAGGGGGGTTTTTCAAAAGAAAGGGAAAAGATAAGTAAGGTTAGAATGGTAATTGACTAATTGAGTCTTCTTCTGTGTTGCAGATGCCATGGCAGGTAGACTAACGGATATTACAACCGACTCGTCGAAGTCAAAAAGCTCAAATTCAAGTCTTCCCACCAGCTCAGAGCTGGATCTAGAATTCCAATCGGACGCCACAAGTCCGCCTTCCGGTCTCATTGAAGCCGCGGCGGGAGTAGCCAGCTGCTTAGAAGAAACGGTGGATACGGTATTGAAATCCAGTCCGAGGTCAAAACGGAAACAGCTCCACAATGCGAGCACGGATATTTCGTTAGCCTTGGGGTCAGTTTACACCAGACAAGATTTGGAGAAAACCGTAGGCCCGTTAGAGGAGGATCTAGATATCACCGACGACGACAAAGTGAGCAAAGATCACCAAGGAGCGAGGAGTGAAGAGAAGGGAACGCGGTCGCAGAGTGGTGTTAGTCAGCGATCTCACAGTGAAAGATTAGGAACGTGGGGTAATGAACCGTCCGACTGGAACGAAGGGAAAGGGACCAGGCAACAAGGAACAACCCGGGACAGCGAGAGACCGGTGAACATCAAAGCGAAAATGGAAGGTGTTGTCATTACGAATAGGAGTACAAACCTGCCGGACGCGGAGGCTGAATGGGGGCAAGGCAGGCAGCAAATGGTAGAGTTTGCAGAGAAGTTGAGCGAGAAACTGCGGGCTGAGATCGACAAGAATCAGGAACGGGAGATCATCGATGTGGAATCGATTCCGGCAAGCATGGAGGATCCGTACATCCAGCGACTGAACAAGGAGTTGGAGAATCTGAACGAGCTCAGTCAAGAGATCCACAGCACTCTTTGGCGAAGGGGTTTGGACGAGGAACCGGTGAAGAGATCCGAGGGGAAACTACCGCTCGATGTGCCGTCGGATGAAACAGCAGACGTTGACAAAGCACAGGAACAACATACGATGGTCAAGACCATGATGGTGGACTCGGAGGAAAGCAACATTTCAAAGACTGAACCTTCGCACAAGAGTTTGGTCACGACTGCGATCGAGGGTGGGGCCAAGTCGGGCGATGCCAGCGCTGACAGCTCCGGCGAGAGCTCGGAAGCGGAAGCCGGAAGTTGGGCCGACTCGAGAAGGAACACGATCACGTCTCGAACCGACAGTAAATTAAGAACCGCCGAGGCGAAGACTTCCATAGAGTCGCAAGACGTTAAACCGGAGTCGGTAATAAACGCGGCAGAAAAACCGAAAGTACCCAGGATACCCGAGATGAAGCGGATCGAGTTGCTATCGGGGAGCGAGGTGTCCCCTCGTCGACCGAGCATATCGGTGGAGACAACCGAGCCCTGCGGGAGGATAGTCGCTGGGAAGAGTGAAGAGATGCTCCCGGAGATAACAGCCTTGCAATCGACCCTCTCGGTGGAGTCCAGCGAGGCTGGAGATATCTCTGACAGGACGGTGGGGAGCAGTAGCGATGGGAGCCGGTCGGAATCGAGACGAGGGACTATAGTCCCGACGGAGACCTCCAGCATTATGTCTCTCCGTCCAGGACTATCGCTGGAGTCGAGCGAGGCTGGGGAAAGCGGGAGTGTTAGTGATATCTCGCGGGCCGGCGACTCGACAAAGAACACGATCTCCTTCGACGAACCTCCGAGCGGGAGTCAGATATCACTGCTCCGACCCGGCGCGTCCATCGAGTCGAGCGAGTACGGTGATATCTCCGACCGAACGGCGAGCGGGAGCGAGACCAAGGGCTCCTCCTTCGGCGCCGCCAAGACCGACTCCACCGCCTCGCTGACGTCCGACCGGTGGAGCGACTGCAGCAAGGACATCAAGTTCGCCGACAGGAAGATCGCTCGCTGCGACGGCCGGTCGTCGTCCGAGGAGACGGTCCCGCGGCGGGCCTCGCTCATCCACCAGCGGGCGTCGATCCCCTGCCCGCAAGCGACGGACAAGGTCGAGGCCGAGAGCACGGACACTTCGATGAGCGACTCGACGTCGCAGGACTCCATGATGTCCGACTGCGCCGGCGGATCCATCACGTTCCACCGCTACTACCACGTCTTCAAGGAGGGGGAGTTGGATCAGCTTATCGAGAGCTACATAGACAATTTGCACATTATCTCGTCGTATTACGATCACGCCAACTGGTGCGTCGTCGCCGAGAAAGTTCAGGTTTGGACCATTTGAGCCGGGCAGAGGAGACCAACTTTCGTCGTAATAGACTACTAGACAAGGTGCGAATTTCAGGATTCTGATACATGTTTCTTCGCTAAAATTTCACGTAAAACACGATGCGTACAACGAAAATTACCGAAATCAACTCCTTCCGAAGATATTAATGATTCTTGGTGCGTGAATTCGAACCACCCGCTCATGAAAACTCAATGCTCTACGTGATTCACATCGCTCGTTAACGTTATCATGAACGTCTCTGCGATAAAAAAATCTGGCAACCTCAATCTTGACGCTTTGGCTCAGCTATAGCAAATTACTTATATTTTGAAAAACACATGGTGGGAAATAAACATTGCTCGATTGAGAAGATTGCTGAAACCGTTGTAGTGCGCGATTTGACTCACGTAGAGCTTTGAGTTTCTTGTGAGCGGGCAGTTCAAATTCCTCGTAACCAATGTGAAATAAAAATGTTAATAGCTTCGTTAGGAGTTGGTTTCAGTAGGTAATTTTCGTTGCGCGAATCGTGTTCTACGTGAAATTCTGGTTAAGATACATGTATTAGAATGCTTAAATTCGTACCTTGTGTAGTGGTCCATAGTTGGTTTGTATGTCGTCCCATCTGCGGCCCGATTATTGAAACTATGTCAGCCCGACATGAAAAGACGGTTAAGATACATGTATTAGAATGCTTAAATTCGTACCTTGTGTAGTGGTCCATAGTT